GAGAGAGGATCGCGCGCGTGGAAGGTGTTTGTTCAATCCGCGAACATCGGCCGCGCGCGCGTGCACCTGCGATTCCTCTTTGGCGCACGGGCGGCCTTTAACTCAAATAGATGTTTTTAATCCTTGAAACGCGGAATGCAACGGGGGTCTTGTGCTTTTCATCAATCTACCCTTTGACACGTACGAAAACGGTTCTAGAACGGTTCGTTCAAAGGTCTGCGAAGGTCGGCTGAAAAACCGACCGCGAACTGCATGGCTCAATGAGTGCATTATTCCCGACTAGAAATTTATCCCATGGTCCTGATCAGGTTAACCTCATTTGGACATCAGGTCCCAATAAGGTAATACTATCGGGTCCTAGTAAGTCATGTAACGCAGCGTGGATGTCGGGACCTTAGTAAGGACTCATAGTTAGGTCCTTATTGAGTTATCTTATGAAATCCTTATTATGCTTTTTTTTTTAAATTGTGGCTCTTGATTACTCGCCACGGCTATATTGGATGATGGCATTAGAAATAAGAAATGACACGCTGAAAATTCTTTCGTGTCATTTCCAAATAAAAAGATATTTGCATGAAATAATATTTTAGATCGCTTGAGCATACTTGTAAAATGTTTCGGAAAAGAAATGTAAAATGAATATCATAAAATATCACAAGGTGACAAGACATAAAATAGTGTTAAAGAGAAAAGTTGCATGTCACGTTGTTAATTTTACAACTATTTATTGACTGCTAAAAAAGGATAGTTTCTATAGCATTTTACAAATATATTCAAGTGATCTCAAGTGTTTTTCCAATGCAAACATCTTCATATTTGGAAATGACAGCCAAAAATTGTTTTGTTAAAACTTGATAATGCAAATCATATTAGGTACAATGAATAAGATCCCGACAAGGACCTGATTAACTGAACCATATATCATACACTAGGTTGGTACGTTAAGGTCCTAATGTGGACCCAATCATTATAACCTTATAAAGGTCTTCCTTACTCACTTGTCGTTAGAACATTATAAGGACTGACTTATTTAGGATTATCTCTCATTCACTCTATTAAGTCCTTATCAATGTTAGGTGAACCTGTTCAAAATTTCTAGTCGGGTTAATGACCTTCTCTGATCGAAGTCAATTGAATCCGAAGAATCACGGGTGCCAAATGGACAATCGGACTTTCGTTGCGGCGCAAAGCCGACGTTCGGACGTGGCGAACTATACCTAACCTATGTCGAACTTTCAGCGAAACTACCAATTTTAGACTGCGCATGATGATATATCTAGTGCTCGCAAATATTTGACACCTGGCTGAATAATATCACATTTGTTATACAATAATATCGTGAATGAATTGCACACGTAGCCCGCAATGAAAAGCTAATATTAGTGCACATGTTTGAATTGGCAACAATAGGTATTAATTCAATCATGCCGAGTCCATCATACTCCGTTAGACAAATAGGCAAATCAATGCAAACGATGGGATGCGCGGAGGCAAACACGCGAGAGACGCAACTCGCTAATCCTTTGTCGCGGCTTCCGCACGAAATAATATTAAGACCGCGGTGCAGCGATATCGATAATCGAGGCCGCGAATCCTTGAGATCGCTCCAACCGGCGGAAGATCCTGCATCCGAAGGACCTCGGCGACCGCAGCGGTGCGACGCACAGGGGAAACTTTGGACACGAGATAAGCGTTGTGCAGTCGAAGGCAGACCGTGATAACAGAATTTCGCGGACAATCAATCGGAAAGCAATAAACGGGGGAGGGGGAAGAGGGGCCGCCGCGCGATCGTCGGTGAACTTCCCGCTGCATTTTCCGCGTTCGTCCGCGAGAAAAACGTCTATTGGGTAAACGGAACCGTGTAATTTTGTCGCAACAGTTGCGCATCGAGCGACACGGCCCGTGTGCACACAGACAGGCCGAAATGCATTCGCCGGCGTGGAATTCATCGCGAGCCATTTGCCACCTGCACTTTTCAGCGCGGCGTATCACTGACAAGATCTGATTTGTCGAATTTTTCCGCTGGCGCCGTTGGACTCGTCAAATCGACCGGTCGCGACTTTTGCGGCTTCGCGAGAGAGAACGAGGATATATAGATCGCAGCTTGCGATGCGATGAGTCCCGCTGAATTACAGTGATTAAACAACGCCCATAATTCGGGCGCGATGCGGCTGACGCTCGCCCGGAGAGAACGGTGCGCGCGCGCGTCGATTATGCGTAGCGGATTTATGGGGACGCGACGTTCGACCCGAGACCCCGCCGCGCCGCAGTCGAATAAAAAGCCGCGCGTACGCGATTAGGCCGACGATGAATCACGGTCGTCTCCGAAATTCGCGCGTGATTTATGGATAATTTTGCCCGTATTTTCCTCCCACGCTGCACACACACACACCTCCGTCTCGCCCCGTATTTCACGGGCCCGACGCGGAATGTATTCCGCCGCGCAATTCCATGCGAAATGAGATATTACCTTTAATACGGGCGCGGCACTGTAAACAGCTTGAACTTGAGATTGTCGGAATAAATCTGCAGCGCGCGCGCGTGCGATCCTACGTCGCGCCTCGTAATTTTTCGACAACGCGTGTCAAATAAATTTAGCGCACACAGATCCGCATTGTCGTTTCTATCGATTGTTGGCGGACGATTGAAAACATCGGATCGTCGGGAGTGCCGGTTATTGATCCCTTTTTTCTTCCAATCTCATATGATTCAGTAGGTAATCAGCTAAAAGTCATGCTCGATTTCGGCGTCATGAAAAATGTCGCCGCGAGTTGAAATATTCATCCCATAATCCCCCAATGCCCGTAGAAATGTTAAATTTGATAAAATGCAAATGAAGACATTATAAAAGAGAAAAGTTGGCAGTTTCGTTTGTCCAGTTATTTCTATTTTACCCTCTCTCCTGCCTCTTCATCGCGTTATTTAATATTCACTCATCATAACATTCTACCTGCAATTCAGCAAGTTACGGGATGAATAAATTTTTTACTGAAATTGAGAATTTCATTGCAGATTGTGGCGAGAGACACAGAGAGTAAATTTTTCGCCCATGAGTGACCGCGATGTGTCTTAACCCTTTGAAGCACGAATTTTTCTATATAATAATAAAAGAAACTGATTATGTATATAGGGGTTTTCTGGATCGCCGACTACGAATCCGGAGTCAAAATTTTAAAATTCAAACTGACGGATTCAATATGGTGACTTCGAATGGCTAACTTTGATATGATATTATGGATATGTATCAAGCTCAGTATATATATGTATGTTTGTTCGATCACAGATGACAAATACAGAGTTGAAGTTAAAAAATTCAAAATAGCGGATTCAATATGGCGGACAAATTTTCTCAAAATTTTGCAATCTTTGTGAGAAAAAGTATATAGAGTTTCCTGGGTCAGTAAATTCGAATCTTCAAAACTTTGAATCCAAATTGCATGTAAAAACGTATTCAACTTTATTAAAAACGAATATTTTGAAGATTATTTAGACCTTGCTTCCGTATATACATAGCGAGATCGTGTCTCCGGGCTTGGCTGAGAGCGGTTCTAAGAGAGATTTAAAGATTTAGCCGTTTTATTTCTTGGAAATATTTTATTCCAACAATTAGGCAGCTTATTAGAATAAGTTATAAAATTTCCTTATTTCCTTATTGTGTCGATTATTTCAGAAATCTGATCGCGGAAAAGTAAAAAACGTTGAAAATACGAATGCATCTACTATTTCCAACTAAATTGTATTCTAAATTTCAAAATTATGATATCAAATCTTTTTGAAAAAAGTCAGTGATTCAAACGACCCCAGAAACACATTTTCATCGGAATTGAAAAATTTTGAAAATTTTTATCCGCCATATCGGATCCACCATTTTGAATTTCGGAAATCTAATAACAAATTCGTTATCAGCCACCCAAAAAACTCCATGTATCTATTTCTGTCGAAATCGAAGGATTTTGAACATTTTTGTTCACCATATTGGATCTGCCATTTTGAATTTCGAAATTCTGACCCCGGATTCGTAATCGGCGTAAACCTCGAAAACCGCAGGATACCAATTGTCACCATCCATATAGCTATAATTGTTCTCTCTGACACGAATTTTTTGTACAAAAGACACTGTTTTCTTGCATTTAACTATTTACATAAACAATTTCATAAACAATTTATGAGAATTACACATTACAACATACTTAATAACATAATACTCGAATGAAAACCCAAAAAACAGCAAGAAAATCGAGTGTTTTATACCTGAAAAACGTAATAAAAGGAAACAAAAAAGGTGGCACTCCAAAGCGCCGCTGTGCTTCAAAGGGTTAAAGATACACTAATTTCCCCTACTAATCTTCTTCTGAAACGATTTTTCTTTCGTTAACACTTGGCCGATCAGGCCAGACACAAAAGTACACAGAGAACGGCAAAAAACACATTAATGAGTGAGTATCGCGATGAACAAGAACCCTTGAGAGACCGTTGCTACAGCAACGGCGCCACATTGTAGCCCGTAACGTGTATCTGTTGGAAATAGCGAGCAACGGAGAGTTAAATACACTTGGACACTTGGAATTCGCAGGGTTAATGTTCAAGCGAGATTTCAACCGGGGATATTTGTCGCACCGGCTCGTGTTCACCGGACGCGCGCGCAACCGGACATGAAATTACGTCAGATATGAAAAAGAAAAAAAAATACATTACTCGTAATATCTGGAGATAATCGTAATAACGGTCCAGGGGTGTGAGAGAGGTTGCGCTCGCGGGGAGCACTCCCGGGGGGCTGCGGCGAAATTCGCTACCGATAATATCGATAGGAACGAAATCAAAACGCGAGACACTTGACGCAACATGGCCGCGCGCGGCGGCGCCGTCGGCCAGCGCGAAATTTTATTAGGGAAATCAAAGACGCGCCCGGAGCCGCGTCTCATGAATGCGAATCGCCGCGGCGACCGCGGGGCTGCGGCCGCGGTCACGGGGATAAGGATCGCGAATCGACTACTACTCACCGGCGCAACTGTATCCATTTTTATGAAGAATGTAGCCATCCCTGCAGTCGCACTCGTACATGCCGTCGTGGAGTTCGTAGCAGAGCTGCTCGCACGGCGAGCCGTGCCCGCATCTTCCTGAAACACGGCGAGGAAACGGGGACGTGAGTAAGTTATGCGTGTCGTGGGAGTTCAGGCCGGTGCGAACGGACAAAGGGAGGAACAACGGGACGGAACGGGACGGAACGGCACGGAACAACGGAACACAACGCGGGCTTCGCGCGCGCGCGGCGGAGAGCTGCGAAACGCGCGCATTCCCTCCTGCCCCCGTCTTCCCGCATCTAATGCGTGTTTGCACCGTACACGTTCTGCCAACTTCGGTTGCATCGCGAGATCGGCAAGCGCAAAAATCGCCGCCCGCGTGTCTGCGCTGCGAGACGCAACGACACCGAAAAACACCGCGAGTTTCGTTCGGTCGGTTGGTCGCGTGTAAACGCCGCGGCTTAACGCATCGCATTAAACGATATGGGGGAGCACACGAGCGAATCTCCTGTTTAATTAATTAGAGCTTTCATTAATAACTGCGAGAGGGGCCCGGAACACAGAGAGAGAGAGAGGGGGGGAGGAGAGCAGGCATCAAATATTTATTCTTTGATATTAATTCTGCGACAGCCGTGCTACGTGTCAAGTTGATGAATAATTCAATTTTCATGGTTGCCGTTCGTTACCGCCGGTGGTGATTATTCGCTGATTCATTCGCGATGTTGCACGCGCGCGCGCCATGTGAAGAGATCGGGGCTTTTCAACGGCGGGAAAAATAAGACGCGTCTTGATCTCACGTGGTCACGTCCGGACATTTGTGTTCGTTTCTCAGCGCGAGTCCGCAACCTCACGAATTCGCGGCCACGAATTTCGCGAATTCCAGGCCTTTGTGCCGACGTTTAATTAACTTTAATTAGGATTTTTCTTACGGGCGCATATTATGGCGGCGTATAATAATACCTGAGGCGCGAGGAGCGAAGTCGTGCGAGATTAATGGCGGGACATATTGCGCGCAGGGGCGGCCGAATGCCATCGAAGCGACCGCAGCGCGCGCAACAATTTTGCCTCATCGTAATTTCATTTTGTTTAATCCCACGTTTCGTAACGTCGTGTATGTAAAAACAAGCTCGGGGAAGGGGGGGAAAGGAGCTTCTCCGCGGGGAATAAACCGCGACGTACACGCGACACATGATGCCCGAAATGACAGCGCGATAATTAATTTTCCATTACGCTGCGTATGTACGTGTGCATGCGCGCGTGCCTATCCGTGTGACAAAAAAGGGGATTAAAGTCATCGATGCCTTGCGGCGCGAGAATTTTCGAGATATCGCGCGCGCAACGCGCGAGCGAAATCGCGAATGACGAGAGCGGAAGACGCGAGTTTCGGAAGAAGAATTAAAAGTACGACAAGGCAGCCTTAATAACGCAAAACGCAAGGGAGAAAAAGGAGGAGGAGGAGGAGGAGGAGAAAACGAAGAAAATGAGATTCGATAATAATTCTACATCGTTTTTAATCGCGAGCGATTAGCACTCGCCCCCAGCGCGTCTGTCCGGCGGGATTAAAAATGTCGGTGTTGACATTTTGTCAAGCAGCGCGGCCGACCGGTTATGCAAACGCTGAAATTTACCATGAAAATGCTTCGCGAGTGGCAATAAATTAATTGTTCTCGCAGTGTTGCAACACGTACCGACGGTGTTTTCTTTCTTTGTTTTTGTTGTCGTTCGTTTTACTTTTTCCTTTTTTCCTTTTTTCCTGTCCGTTTTCCCTTTCCCCTCTCCCGTGTGCAAACGCGGCGAATTACCGCGCATAATATACCACGCACGATTCCGCGCCGGAAGTGAGAATTGGAAAATGTAAGCGGCGGTCGCACGTCGTGATAAGAATATCCGGTAAATGCGCAACGATATAAGGTACATAACTCCAGTGATATTGGTATATATTAAACGTCGTTAATAATATTGTGCCCCTCGACGATTTCGCGGAACATTATAAATAGCGATGCTCGTGCGTATATCATATATATCCATATTTATATATGGATATATAAAATATGTATATATATATACACATACGTGTGTATACACATATATATAACGAAGAGTCGCGGTGGGACATGAGCAGACGTGCAGCAAATAAAAGATCCGATAAAAAGTGCATTACGCTGAATACAGTAAAATTCATGGCGTTTTTATTTCGAGCGAACTCGTTCTTCGGACTTGGCGTCGCGAATGAAAATAAAGCGCATTCAATTTCGTGTGCGGACCTTTCAATTTGCACACATGCATACGTAATTCGTATATTTCGCACTTAATTTTAGCTTAATGAAAGTGCTTGTTAACTAAACTTTGTATAGAACGCACTGACGGTCGAAATGTTGTATTATTGGACACAGCTCGCTCGCTCACAAGACAGACAGACAGACAGAGAGAGAGAGAGAGAGAGAGAGAGAGAGAGAGAGAGAGAGAGAAAGAGAGAGAGCGAGAGAGAGAAAGGTAGAGACGGAGAAAAAGAGCGTTTGGACAAAACGCATTTTACATTCTCGAATATTAATATCATCGCGGAATATCTTGAACTTTAGGAAGCTCTCCGGCCGTCGCGCGTCACTTAAAACCGCCAATGTAAAATCGATGCGCGCGATGCAAGATACAAGTGCTTAATGGGCTCTTAATTCCGTCGTTTAAAAACCGCGGTAATCATTCACCTTGCAGGGCGGATAAAAAAAAAGCGCCAGGAACAAGGTTGGCCGCGCACGAACTTCTAATCTGATTTAGAGGCCGGCGCAGCGCGCGACGCAAACACGCGGTAAACACACCGCATCGATCTTATATTCAGAGCGTCATGAGAGGAACTTTCAACTTTTTGTATGGCTTCTTATGGGTGTTTGCCGTGCTAAAACAGGAGACGTAATTGAACGGCAAACAGAGTGGCGTGTTTACCGTACACTGCGATCGTGAACGCTACTCGTCCGCGCGGAGAATCTCGCGCGCTAGTGCCACGCGATCAAATATATAACGCGATGTGCGTTTCATTTCCAGGTGCAATATGGCGGGAGGGAGGGGGGAGGCGAAGAAGGAGGCGGCGGAGAAGGTGGGAAGGAATTTTTAAAAATTCACACGGAAAGGGGGAGAAAAAGAGCAAGGGTGAGATTCCAGCCGAGCGCCAAGTGCCGAGCGTTTCTCTCATTTGCATAACGAGAAATTAATAAAATGAGCGCGCGCGTCCTCGAGCGTAAGGAAGCGAGCGACTGCGACGCGCCGAGAGGCGCGAAATCCGCCGCTGCCGAATGTGCGCAACGACGCATGCCGAAGCTCGCATCGCATCGCATCGCATCGCATCGCATCGCATCGCATCGCATCGCATCGCGTCGCATCGCATCGCATCGCATCGCATCGCGGTGCGTTTCGCGATGAATCACACGACTCGTTGCACCCCGATGCGTCGTTCTACCTACCGCGATCGGGCTAGCAGCGCTGCCGGGGCGCAGGACGACAAGCATTGAAAATTCCAATATCCGGCTCGGCCAGGCTCGCGTATATGTTTATTCTTGACGAAAAGCCGGCAGCCGGTCGGCGAAAAAAGCGGCATTATTTTCATGAAGCGAAAACGCCGGCGGGAAATATATATCGCGTTGTACTTGACTTGTCGATGCACCGGGGGCCGCGCAATAAAACCGATGTTGTGCGACGCCGCGCCGCGCCGGCAGGTAGAATGCGATGAAATGGTTTTGTTCGTTTTCGCCTCGACCGACCGTCTCGGGTCGCACATGCTCGCTCGCGGCGAACACGCATGTTGCACTCCCGGCCCGCGCGTATCCTCCATCCCTGGGATTTTCATTCCCTCGATTGTTTTCCCTCTACTGCCTCCAGCCCTCCCCCTTCCCCCGCTTCGTCTCCCTCGCACACGGCGGTACCGCCCGATACCGAACCTATTCGGTCGTTTCATCGCACTTTAATCGCGCTTTATTCTTCCTCGTCGACAATTAAATATAAGACGAATTATCAGACGTGTCTAGAGCACATGTTTCGATCGATTCTTCCGTGTAAAAATATCCCGCCGCGTATCTCGACGGGACTGTGCGAACGTTTCAACGACGCCGACGGGATCCGTTAACCGTGCATATGCATAATCGAAGCGAAGAGCGCGATTCTCTTCTTCCGCGATACGCCACGTGATACGGCGCGTCCGTCTTAGGGCAAGAGCACAGGCTTTTGCATAACACATAATACATAACGCGTAAGAGAATAAACCAATTAGTTTTCTTCATTTCCCTCCTCAGGACAGAAATGAAGGACTCTGATTTGTCGATTCTCTTATGCGTTGTGCAGAAGTCTGTGCTCCGGCCCTTAGACTTCTTCGCTCAGGATTAATAATTTTCGGATAGCGCGCGCGCGCGCGCGCCGTAGCTCTCTCTCTCTCTCTCTCTCTCTCTCTCTCTCTCTCTCTCTCTGGCCGGAAACTAAATCCGAAGGACATTGGAGACACACTTTCGGCGGAGATGCAGTGGGCTTAGACTAGAGATATTGATATCCGAGTACACCGAGCGCCTGGGTAATTAGCCGGACTTTCGGGAAATATTGGAGCTCTCGTTACCCGGATAAATTTTCGCGCGAACCCGCGGGACGCGACACGTTACGTGGACGAGGATATAGAGGGACGCTGTGTGACGTGGATACGCAGAGGACAAAGACAACGGTCGCGCGAACGATCGCGTATCGTCAAATTAACGTGCGCCATCGCTGAGAATTGCATGCCGCGTGCGCCGCACGGACGCAATGAAATATCCGATATTTTGCTGTATAATTGCACGTATGATTTTTATCGGCATTGTACATTTTAATGCGCCATTTTAATGCACATTGAAATATGCATTGTACGCATTAAAAATGCATTTCAACGCACGATAATTTTAATGACAGATTCCCCGCGTCAAATTTAAATTTATATATTTCGCTGAAAATCCAGCCTGCCTCAATTTGTAACGAAATCTCACATTTAAATATTCGCGACGTGTAATCCAGCGAAGTTAACGTGTCGAATACTGTGTGTGTGTGTGTGTGTGTGTGTGTGTGTGTGTGTGTGTGTGTGTGTGTGTGTG